ATATGCGATGGTAACGTAAACATGTTGCATCGACTGTGTGTGTGTGTGCGTGCGTGCGTGCGTGCGCGTGCGTGCGTGCGTGCGTGCGTGCGTGCGTGCGTGTGTGTGTGTATTTTCACTGATGTGTAGGTTGATGACAGAAGCGACACTACAGTTAATTCATATCCGTGCCAATGTTTATTTTCGTCACTCTCGAAAATGCCGTGTATGCATTTATTTTTTACATAAAATATATTCATATGAAGGATATATTTACGTCTTAAATACAGCTACGCCGTTACAGAATGGTCATATCTCGTAACTAAGACGGCCACACGTGAATGTAATCGTAACGCATCAACGATGATACCTTCCAGATACGTGGATTATCCTCTAGAGCCGCCTAGTGGATACAAGCAGCACACGCCGCTTCCTAGCTTTCAGGATACATACTTTCACCGGCCTGATGGTTTCAATGAGGGCACGTCGAGCGGCGCGTTCCAGCAGGCGCCCAATGTGGCACAATTGACTGACGTCTACCAGAGTCAGAGCGCGGTGTCGTCGTCGCCTTACCACGCGCCGTCGCCGACGCACCAGAGTCAGCATGCGCAGTCGCCGACTGGATCACACTACAGCCAAATGCAGGATGTGGGTCAGGTGTTCCAGACAGACAGTGCCGCTCAGTATTATCCCCAGCCGCCGCCTCCGCAGCTGTCGAGGGGTCGCTCGAAGCCAATGCTACAGCGACAAGACAGCGTCCATAGCGTTGGCAGCGTCGGCAGTATTGGAAGTCCTGCTCCGTCGACACCCTACCGACGGGACAGCTACGCCGGATCACCCTGTAGCTTTGCATCGGACAAGTCGCAGTTCAAGAGGCAGGACAGCTTCGGTGGGTCATGCAGTCCAGCGAGCAGCTTTCGAAGTGATAGACCACCGATCCAGAAACAGGACAGCTTTGGCGGATTAAGCATGGCCAGTAGTGTGGGCAGTCCAGCTAGTCACCACAGCGAACGGACGTTTCAACGACAAGACAGCTTCGGTGCAATGAGTCCCTCTAGCTATCAGGGCAGCACCTATGCTGAGGACATGTCTCCCGTTCCGTCAGTATTTGACATGGATGAGTCAATGTCCATGCCATCAACTCCTAGTCTCCAAACTCAGCAGAGTTTTGGCTTTTACTCTGGTCAGCAGCAGCAGCAGCAGCAGCAGCAGCCAGCGGGGTCCCTGCCCAGCCCTGATACTAACTATCAAATACAGACGTCGTCTGTTGGCCTGGGCTACCAAGCCAATGTTAGGGTTGGCATTATGCAAGGTGTAATGCCGCCTGGAGGGCCTTTGCCACCACTTGATCTTGGAGCAGCTTTTCCCGTTGAACAGTCTGGGTATGTTTCATCATCATTACACCATTATTGCCTTATTATTACATAATACATTTTCTGATTATTCAAAACATTTTGACGTGTTTACGTTTAGTAGGTTGTTGATTACTATTTGCCATAAATCGTTTGGTAGTTCCTTATGAAAATCGTTTAATGCATAATTAAGTCACCTCATGCACCGTCATGAGGCCAACAGACCATGATTCTATGACAATGACAACAGTAGTGGAACCATTCATAAAATCAACTACTTGAAATTATAGCCACGGGGATATGTCACTCGGCAGAGTCGAAGTTTTTAATGTCTCGTTTATTCTCACTCACATGCAGGATGGGACAGTCGTCAATGCATTCTCCAGCTACGCCACCAACACCAACGTCACGGCAGGCGTCTCCCAGCTCGCCCGTCAATCCTAGCCAGCTATGCGCCGTGTGCGGTGATAACGCTGCCTGCCAACACTACGGCGTGCGCACCTGTGAGGGCTGCAAGGGGTTCTTCAAGGTAAATCAGTGTTCCTTTACGAGCCTATACTCCGCCTCACGTGTGGTTTCTTATTTGAGGCGTTGCAGGTGGGATTGTTATTGTGGAGATTTGAAAAACTTGGGTCTCTCGTCTTCTCTCCCCTGTTTAATCTCTGCTCGACTAGGAAGAAGGGGAATGCTCGTTACCACATCTTAATGCTACAGTGTGTGATAACGAATGTCACATTCATGCAGCATTACTGTTTATTCATATTATCAGGGGTAAATAATATAGAGATAGAGTTCTATATCATCTACTACTGATACTGTTGCACACAGACTCTAATTCGCCAAGGACCGTAAAATAACAGTACGTTTGGACACTCAATTCTTGCAACGCATTTACTCCGACCACCTGCACCGTGGTCTCTACTCAGTATATATCCTATCAATAATACTGCTGTACCTACTAATGATGTTCTTTGGGGGCGAACTTATTATAACTGTGATGCACAATAAACAGAAGCTTGAAAGCCAGTTTTATTTGCTAAATAGCAAATAAAATATAGTAATAACAAATTCGGTATATGTATAATGTATATGTATAATATGTATAATCGCAGCGCACGGTGCAGAAGAATGCGAAATACGTGTGCTTGGGTAACAAAGAGTGTCCGGTAGACAAGCGCCGTAGAAACCGTTGCCAGTTCTGCCGCTTCCAGAAATGCTTATTCGTCGGAATGGTGAAGGAAGGTGAGAATCTGAGCTTAAGTCTGTTCGTTTACGTAGTATATAGATCCTATATAGTGTATAAGTCTTCTACATAGCGCTGTGTCTTCCATGCGTACTAACGCGTCTGAGACAATATTATAATAAATGATATCTGTGAATATTTCATAATCCGCATGCCCTCTGAGCCAGAGTCCATATATGATATTAATGAACAAAATTTATAATAATTATGTTAGAACGATATGTTACGAGCGCCTAATCACGCATGTCTTTGCTATCATTTTTAGTCGTGCGATCGGATGGGTTAAAAGGGCGCCGTGGCCGGCTGCCATCCAAACCAAAGAGCCCACAGGAGTCGCCACCATCGCCACCTATTTCGCTCATTACAGCGCTAGTCAGAGCACACGTGGACACGACTCCAGAAATTGCAAATCTAGATTATTCAAATGTAAGAATAAAAGTATAAATATAAATGTACATGGTATTCACAATGCGGTAAAATCGTTATGCTGACGTGATAGCCCTGTAGCTACTGCGGTGATACTTGTTGTGCCTACAATATTAAATAGATGTTTATTATGTTAGCCATGCACGAAATGTGTTCTGTTAGATTTACTGTCGTATCAACTGCTTGCATTTCATAGTCGCGCGGCACATTTGCAGTTTATAGAATACGACGAGCCTCTCTCCGATACCGAGCAAGTTAAGCAATTCTTTGATCTCTTAACGTCATCAATTGATGTCATCAAAACATGGGCAGAAAAGATTCCTGGATTTGTAGAACTGTGCAAGGAAGATCAAGATCTTCTTTTCCAGTCTGCGTGTCTAGAGCTGCTCGTACTGAGACTCGCTTACAGGTAAGACTAATCCAAATGTTGACAGGTTTCATTATGAAAGCTATTGAAAACGTTCACTTCCAGCATCTCGAGTGTAAGCAATGAGGAGACGGAAATTTTAGGGTTGTTCCATCCAGAAAAGTTCTGCATCCAGAGAATCGGATGGCACGCGCGAATTTTGACGAATTTTATTTTGCGGATGGATACGCATCGTTGTAAACCGATACCCTGTAACGAAACACACATTTATTAAAGAACTTTGTGTATGCAGGAATATTTACTAAAACACGACGCATCGTTTTCATAGAATGAATCCGGGCGACGAGAAGCTGGTGTTCTGCAACGGCGTCGTATTGAGCCTGACCCAGTGCGAGCGTTCGTTCGGGGAGTGGATGCAGGCCATCATGGATTTCTCCTCCTCGCTGCACGCCATGAACTTGGACATTTCTGCGTTCGCCTGCATGTGCGCGCTGACGCTGATCACAGGTAAGCAACGCCATCCCACTCGTTCGTGCGTTTAACGATTCCTCTTAGAAATCCCTTGTTGCGAGAAGCCTGATCCATCGTATGTTTTACAGCGAGACACGCTTTTGCGTTTCACGCTTTGACATTTTGCGGCAAAATGGCCGCGCAATAAGTGTGGAAATTCCACCGCGCTATACGTCTACTACATTCATAGGGAGCATACTGAAGTAGCTTTGTACCTATATATTGTAGATGATATCTAACGGTACCGATTAGCAAAGCTTTCTTTTCTCTCGGTTTTTCTCTCTCTATGTGTATACGCGCGTGCGCGTGCTTTTAACACACCACAATTTTAATAAAATTCTTCGACTGTAGGTGCGTATTCAGTATAGTGAAATTCGATTGACGAAATTGTATTCAATTTCGCACGTTTGAAAATCGGTGAGAAATTGTTTAGCACGAAGCCTGGCGAAGCGCCAAGTCGTCTAACGTTGCCTGATGTCTCGGCTCTTTTTATAAATATAATGGGTTTCATCATCGTCGATATCACAATTTAGCTTCAAGCGCAGGTCACATATTGGTAAACGCTTTGCGACGTGTTGATACATCTCTCTAAAGTGAAGTATTACATAAGTAAACCCTAACCCTAACACTAACCCTAACCCTAACCCTAACTCGAACCCTAACCCTAAACATACCTCATATAAAAATATAAACTACTAAACAACCTAAAACTACCTCGGGTACATATCTGTAGTACCTGATACGACCACGACCCCATCTGCACTATAGTAGCAGTCTCTACGCTATTTTTATCTGTGGTGCTTCTTAGTACGTGCCGCCCCCGCACGGCAGGCTTTCGTCGGTGTTTCGTCAGGTGCCTATAATATGTCAACTGTCTGTAAAGGAAAACGAATTCCCAACGTAGTTGCACGAAATGATAACGAATTATCATGTGCACGTAGGCGTGGTGAGGTGTGTTGTGCGTGTATGCGAGGGCGCGTAGGTGCGTGCGTGTAGGTGTAGTGCATGTAGGTGTCAAGAGCTAATAATACCTAGAGTGTACAACGGAAAAACGGAAAAATGGGGCTATTTCACGACATGATTATTCTACTTTGCCTGCGAGTCTAGAATAATTTTATGGTAATGCATTAAGTAGAATTCTTTGCTCTCTAAAACAAGACCAACCGCTTGTCAATACGATACTCCTAGGCTGAGATATTGGCTCGTACACTTTCCCTCCCACAGGCCTCACGGCGCCTCGAATCCACATCAGTCAGCAACCTAAAGGTGGTAAACAACAGTAGATCGCGTCCATAGGCAGCAGGCCTGAATAAGCATCGAACAGATATTAATTAAAAATACTCACACTGTTACTTCGCTTACACACCATACACTTTATTCATGTTAAATAACTACAGATTCATGCTCTATGCTCCGCTCGAAACTTTTGCCAGCTCTATGATGCGAATTTCTACAAAGTTGCCTGACTACATTTCAAACATAAATATGACCAACCGGTCGCTGTGACTACGCCACCTGACGGAATGTCACGAATACACAACAAGACCAATTTTACTTCTAATGCTTTCTAGACGTCCTAAGAGCACAAAATAGGGGG